TGATTAAATTTCCTCTTCATGGATTCTCCCCCTTTCAGGAGGGTTGCTAATGGCTTGGATTCACTTCGGTATCACTTTCTTCGACACCTCTTTGATCAAGTATCAGTTAACTGACGAGACCTTCAAGTCAGTCTTGACAATACACATGTCCCATTTCTCAGAAAGACGCTACTATTCTTGAGACGAGCATTTCAGTTTCTCGAAGACGACATTGGTTTCCATGATCTTCACCCAGACCATCTTCCCTGCCGATTACTTGTTTGCGTTCACTGTTAGCGGCTGCTATTTGGAACTTCTACAGAGGTTCATTATGATTCCATTCACTGATTACCTTCAGTGACGTGAACACTTAAACTTTGAACTTCAGATACCTGAACATGGGCTTCTTCCAACTCGGTACACCTCGAGTGAGCATCAGCCATTCCCATCACCACGATGATGAAACACCCGAGGTTTGGAAGTAACGCATTAGGCATGGTGTTGTATTTTTGAGGCATTGTTATCACAAATCCTCATGATACAGAAACCGGGAAAAATGGAGAAATTATTCAAGGAGGGAAGGGTGATGGTGGGCGAACGTGTCCAAAGTGGGCACAGTTAACCACCGAATTTATAATATAACTCGGTTCCATGAAGCCCAAAAACAGTGAAAAATGTGTGTATAAGCTAGCAAAGCAGAAGACGTCAACTGCCGCTGGTGGGTGAGGCGTGCACCGAAGTGTATGAAGTTTCCCACCGAACTTGTAGCTCGGTTCCGAGACTGCCTGGAAGCTGGTGAAGAAGCGAATGTAGGTTACCAAAGAAGGGCTATTGATGGATGAGGCGTGCACCGAGGTGGGTGGAGGCGGAACCCTGATTCCAAAAAAATCTTAAAATGTTCCCGGAAGCCTGGAGAAGGGCAAATGGATACCAGCTAATGAGTGCACTTACCGTCAAGGACTTTCAGGGGTGCCAAGCTTCTCAAAACTGTCTTTTGCATAATATAGAGGCACATGCAGGAGCCACAGAACCACGGTAATTAGGACCTTCAGCAACCCTTACAAACAGAATTGATTAGAAAATTGGTTGAAAAGCTGTGACACCAAAGTGGGGGCCTTCCAGTGTCGTACAGCCTCTTCACTACTTATTCAACCAATCTAATCTTTTTGCGCGAATTTTGGAACGTCAACTCAAAAATTTGTCACCACGAGGAATCGAACTAGGGACCCCTTTTCTGGTATTCAGAGGGCCGTTCAGGAAAAATTAACCATGGTTCTGTGGTTCCCGCATGTGCCCCTATATCATGCAAAAGACCGTTTTGAAAAAGCTTGGCACGCCCTGAAAGACCTTCCTGGTAACAGAAAAGTTTTAGGTGCTCTGTCCAATATCGTTGGGCACAGCAACCGTTCGCTCTAGCGTGTAGAGCCAAACTGGTATGTTATAAAGCACTGATCATGAATGTTCCTTTGTTTTTCGTCGCTTCCCATTAAAACGATTTTGGGGATGTTATACCAGCCAAAAGTTGAAAAAACGCAATTTTACCGAGATAACCTGGAAAACCGATAGCGATAACGTTAACAAGAATTTCCTTACCAAACAATTTTTGGAGCAGTTTCGAAACTCTCAAGAGCTCCAATCATGATGTCCCCTTTTAGCCTTTCTGAAAGAAGTACTGTGAACAAATTACTGATTAACTTTCCACTTCATAACAAAGAGGGTATTGAGGTGGTGGAAAATTTGTATTGTTCGCTGCAACGCAAAGCGTGTGGCGCAGGCGCCAGCATAGCATTGTGGAACCGTTTTGTTTGAACACAAACGCATAAATATACAGTAATACATGTGTGGCAGGCATAAGGGGGTGGTCGTATCAATATCCCGTGAGAAAATATCGAAATCGGCACAACTGACCGTGACTTATCACTATACAGGGTGACTGCAAATTGCGGTACCAAGATGAACAGATCATGCTGACAACTGGAAGAAGGCAAGTAGAAGACAAAAATATATCTATTGGAGCTTAATAAACAAAAAACACCATGCCACTCCTTCAAGCAGCCAGAGAGAAGCAGTTGAAGGCTTCTGGAGAGCGCTAACCGCGTTGGACAGTCTGGAGTTCATCCAGGCACTCTGAAGCGGTTCCCTGAACCCGTCGACGTTTCTATGGTCTTGGAAACTGGTATCAGCCTTCATCTTACTCCTTATAGAGTAATCCAGTTGATCTATTTAGGTGGCCGCTCCCCGAATGCG